TTGCTGTTGAGTTTATGGGGAGATAAATATCCTCTTTATACATCAGATGCTCAAACCAGAGGTAGTTGCTTACTGCAGCATGTTGATGTTGATCTGGATCTTCACTTCCACACCAGGCGCTTTATCCTGATTGACATCTAATGTGCTGTTGGATTTTCTCTGTGCAGCAGCTCCTCTTTCTCTCTTTACTGTGAGACAAGAGGCTGCACTCTGTTGAGTGCACCCTGTTCCTGCTCATGAGGAAGAGCATGGGCAAAGCTATTTGTGGGAAAGGGAGCAGGATGTCCCAGGAACTGAAGGGTTGCATGGATAAGGCATGGGCTTTGGGGCATCAGTATGTAAAGGGTAGTTGGGATTCTGGTTTCTGTAGTTATGAGGGTTCAAGATGAAAGGTAGGAGCTCGGGGATGAAATAGCACTGGGATGGGAATACAGTGGCATGGAATAGCTTGTGGAGCCAAAGCAGGAAATAAATGAAGGCATGAGCTGGTCTGCTGGTGGGTTGAAAGCATGTTACAAAAGGAGCTGGAAAAGGACAGGAACATGTCATCCTGCTGCTTACTCTGTGTCTCCTGTGGGAGCTGCTGCTCTTTCAGGTGACACCTGGGGAAACAGAGGTAGGAGCTGTGATCAGGAGTAGTCAGTATGAGTTCATGCAATCCTGTGTAAGTGCTCTGGGATGACCCTGCTTGAACAGAAGGGTTGGACCAGATGACCCACTGTGGTCGTGTCCAGCCTTACCAATTCTGCAATTCTGTTATGTTGCAGGTAGATTTCTGTGCTGGAAATTTGTGTGATCTTTTTGTTAATACCTCTTCATACAAAACCTGTAGTGAGAATTAGACAAGCATCTCTCTATGGTTGCAGTGTTCCTAGAGATTAGAGTTGTAACAAAACCAGATAATTATTTTACCTGAAGAATACAGGGTGGTGCACAGGGTAGGAAAAAAGTTCTGGTTTGTAGCTGAAATTAATGTTACACTCACGAACAATTTTCACTGAAATAGCTGCTATTATAAAAATGACTCCTGAAAATTATACCAGATGTCTGAAATAACTGACTTGGCATCACCTGTCACAGGAAGCATTGACATCAAATCATTGTCACCTCCTTTTTGCATAGACCTGCTCTCTTATATATCATAACATGAGCTTCTCTTCCAGAAAACTCTGATCTGTTCAGCCCATGTGTAATTATGTTAAAGCCCCTTACATGTTGGAATTTTTATGTAGGTATCTTAAATATTTGACAGTTAATTGATTCAGTGGCAGAAAGTGCTTGAATAGTTCATTTTCTGTTGTCTGGGGATTTGGTTGATCCTAGACCTGCAGCTGGTGAACCCGTGTGTATGCAGATGTAGATATTAATAAAGATGGAAATTATTCCAGGAAAGTGTTCACTTCATGCTGTTTTGTCTTGCATCCATTTGTACAGTGCAGCTTTCCCCTTAGAAAGGGTTCTGAATTACCATGCTATGCTACATGATTGTGTACTGCTAATAACATGTTACATTGCTGCATACAGTTTGGGTAGATGGTGGAAGAAAGTTGGTGTCTTGTTTGTGTGCAAGGATCAAACATTGGCCAGTCTGATGATGACTACTTATTTCAGAACTTGCTCATCAATAAGCACTGAGAATTCTGAACTGAATTTGTTTCTAAAGTGAGGAACTTAGAGGGCAAATGATCAAATTTGTAGGTAGGCTGTTGCTAGATGAGCTGTGATATTGCTTACTAACACGTGTTTTTGTTTTGTTTTTAGCCACGGATGTATAAGGAACATTATAGACTTCTTTGAATTCAGATGCTGTGGTCTTTTTCGTCCTGTTATTGTGGACTGGACAAGGCAGTATACAATAGAATATGACCAAACTTCAGGAACAGGCTACCAGCTGGTGTAGCACCACCTTCATCCTGTGAGCATATCATGCTGAGTGGTGCCTGAAATTCTTCTCTCTCTCTCTCTCTCTCATCCGCATCCCTTGAAGAGTAGCATGCTATGTGTAGGGCTGATGAGGAATCATAAAGGTACCTTCTCTTCATAAGAATTTTATTAACAAACGTAAAAATGGACAGAATAAACTGCCAAACCTGATAAGGAAGAGGAGGAATATCAAAAAAGGGATTTTAACAGTTCTTAACATGAGAATTATTCATGACAGCATATTCACAGTATTTGTTGTTGGTTTTTTTATTTAAAGTCTTTCACAATGGAGCATGAGATTATTGAAGTATTGACATAATTAGTAATGTTGTGCTGAGCAGAAAAATTTGTTTCCCGATATCAATAATTCCACTGAAACAAGAATCTAGAATACAAAACTAAATCTCCTGATACAGAGTTCACTGTTCGCTATGTTGTAGTTCCTGTAACGTGATTTTTTTTAATACAGATTTTCTCTAGTATGATGTACATTGAAAAATGTGCTTTTCAGTACTGTTATAAACATTGTACGGTGGGGATCCCCTGTAACATGTTAAGCTATAGTAGTAGCGCACGTCAGGTAATGTTGAGAAAAAATACGTTGCCCACATTTTTTGGTGATTTGTTTTCGCCACCAGTTAGTGGTGCAACTAAATATTTGTAATAACCCTGTTCTGAGGTAACCTAGTCTGATATAAACAACTGCACCAATAAGGAAAGCTTTTCTGTCAAAGTTGCAGCCCTGCTTAAATGCATGATACACCGGCAAAGTTAGTTTACAGTATCTAATGTTCAGGGGGAAAAAAAGTGGGGGAAAAAAATCATTATCTCTGAAGTAATTGTATAAGCAACTTCCTAGCAGTGTTTTAGTATTAGGTTTGGTCCTCATACAGCACAGTGTAGTGTAATTGGAGACATTGTCGGAAGAGAAATAGCATGGGGGGATACCACAGATGTTGAAAGCAAGTCTCAGTTACAAAAAGACAAGATAGTTTTAAATTGAATGCAACTGTAGAAGAAGAACCCCGAGTTGCCTGAAATGCTTATTTTTTTGGATGTAAAAGAGTGGAAACCAAACTTAAAGAAAACTCAGAATCCCCACAATAGCACATGCGCACAGAAAATGCAAAGCCACGTTCTGAAGAGATGGTGTATTGGCACGTGGAAATCGCCCTTAATTTCTGTTTTTAAGTTCTCATGCTACAGATATGTTTGGAAGGTAAGGAATGATCTGAAATTGCATTCCAAAGGGGCTTTTCTTGAATGTGATGCACTGATTTTTTGTTATGGTGTTTTCATATCCTCATAGTGAATTGTTCACTGCTTCCTTAACTATTGTTTACAGAGAGACTGAGAATCAGGTTAGTTCTCTTCTAAGTGCTGTAGCAACCCAGTGGTTCGAGGAACCTGTGAGGGGAGTTTGGGGAGGGACCTGAAAGCAGATGTCTGAGACCAGTGTAAAGAATGTGTATCTGTATATAAATAATTTATCAAATAGTTTTCTCTCTGTGAGTGTGTGTTTAGTGTATTTAAAGCTGCTCATTTTCATTTTATTCAACCAAAAATGTGTAGGAAGATATCTAATGAGCTTTTAGTGATGTTCAATATTGCTGTTAATAGGCATTATGCCCTGCAAATTCACTGCATGTTTGATGCTTGGCAAAATTAGCGTTTTCTGTAATATGCAGATTACAGGTAATAAAGCAATCTAGTGGTATTCCCGGCCCTTGCCTTAGTAAGAGGAGCAGTGAAACTGTAAATAGTTGATGTTCAGTATTTGCAAGTAAACATTTTTTTCTGTAGTTGTTCATTGATCTCAAGACACACACTTAGTTTGCAAGTACCAGATATCAGGATTTACAGAAGTGCAGCATTAGAGAACTTGAATGTTTAATACTGGAAGAATCAACATCGTTTTGGACACAGTTTTAACAGGTGAGGTTTGGGTGTAGGAGTGGCAAGAAGTTCTTGCTATTTTTGTCAGACAAAATGTGTAGTCCTAATGAAGACACATTCTATTTCAGTGAAAACAGTTGACTTCAGTTCATTTTTTTTTTCTAATCAGAAAAAAACATGAAGACTTTACAGTGTTGTTTGTTTTAATCACCAATGATGTTCTGCATATTTGTTCAATTTTTGGATTTTTTTATTTTTATTTTTTCACATTTCTGTTGGGGGTCAGTTGACTTGAAGCTTAATACACTTTATTAAATATCACCTGGCCACCAGGAGGGCAGTTTAGTACGTGACACAATTTTGGTTTTAGTTACCCAGTAGCATTAACTGCCATCATGCACTCCGTGTCAAAAGTGTATGCAAAAGAAGAAGTGACCTTTGGTAGCACACAGTGCTGCACTGTTTGCCGGTCAGTAGCTCTCTGGTGACAGTTTTGCTGAGACCTGCAGAATTTGAGCTATAGTAGGTAGTTGTGAAAATTAACATCCGTATATGGACTTGGGATGTATGAAGTTTCCAGTGCAAAATGTAACTTGTCTTGAGTAACACTGAATTGTTTGATGTGAAACCATAAAGCAAGCAGGGGGGAGCCAACTATGCAGCATTTTTCTGTCAAGTTATCAAACATAAAATTCACTTGTTGAACCAAAACTGCATTGCTTCTGAAACTTAACAAAGCTGATCCAGACCAACAGCAGATCAGACCAACTTAATCTGACATAGGTAGAATAAATAGGAATTTTGTCTTGGCCCTAAACATCATGTGCTGTTTCTTTGCAGGTTTTTGTATTCTTTGATGTCCACCAGAATCTTTTTTTTCAATTAATGTGTAAAACAGCATCACTACATATTAAGCTATGGATTTTTTTGTATATTCTTTATTTATAACTGTGCCAAGTATTATTTTAATACTGTCGAGATCTTGATGTGTATGACATTGTGAACAAAAAATTCTGTAAAATGTTTAATAAATTAGCTCTCCTTACATAAATTAAATCTGTTAAATTTTGTAAGTTATTAATCAAATAAATATTGACTCTTAGTTGCAGCGTTTGTCTTGACTTGGGGTGTGATTTCACACCGTGGTTTCAGTCCAGCTTCAGAAGTGTACCATGAGAGAATAGCTGCTATCTTGCAGCTTATTTTGGTAAAGTAATTCCAGAAAGAGGTACAGGTGTCATACAGGCAGTATGCATCCCAGTTCTGTGCAGGTGTGAAATCCTGTGAGCTACTACACTGGGTTTTGGTGAAGTTACATCTTGTGCTACTAATTAAAAGTTACCATTCATTAATTAGATTTTTTCATGGCTTTTGGGCACAGCATGCTGGCAAATTAATGTTTCTTAAGGGAGAATTCCATCTAAGGGAACATTTCAGGTGGCCAGATGAGTGTGCATTTAAAGATGTTTGAGGTATTCTGAGGGTAAACAGGACATCCGCTTGGGGCTGGGAGGTGTGACCAAGATGAGTTCTCCTAGGTGGCACTTACAGGACACAGACTACCTTGACTCTTCTGGTGCATGAGTAGAAACAAGGTAACTATCCAAGCTGAATGAACTCAGGATATTTATCACCGGAAATATGTATTAAAATATAAAGCTAGGATTAAAGACTGCACCTAATGGGAAGAAAAAGTCTTGTGTTTTCTATTGGGTGTGGGTTCAATAATGACATTGAGAATTGTTGGTGCTGTTCTCCACTTTCCCAAGCAATGTTCCTGGTGAGGCTGTGTCCAGGCTTGCCTCTGCTGGACGACCCTTTGGCTTGCCTGGTAAAGATCTTTTTTAACAGAAGACGCTCTGTGCTGACTATCTCTAGTAAGACTTGCAGTGCTGCATCAGAGCAGTTCTGCCCTTGGGAGGTATGGGTGGGCTCATGATGGCTTGAAAGCTGGTTCCTGGGTTTTTTTCGTTTGGGAAAGGCTGCACTCTGCACCCTCATTATGGCTTGATTAGAGTTCAGTCCCTTGCACCTCCATTAGCTGCCTTTAAGTAAAATAAGATTTTTTTGCTATGAAAGCAATGTCTCCTTGGGAACACTTGCATTTGGATTTTATTCACCTTAGGGTATTGACATCAGTAAAAATTGCACCTGCTAATTCCAGGTTGAATTTATTTGCAGTAGCTTACAAACTTCATGTTGTAGCTTATAAACATAGTGCCATATTCACATTGCTTCCAATCCTACATACTGCTGAAGATTTCCAGAGTGTGAAGTCAAAGGACTTTTGAGAACCAATCTCTCCTTGAATTAGGGCTTCAAACTGAGATGAACTCTGGACAGATATGGTGACAAGGTCTCTTTTTTTTCCTTCATGTCTTTGTTTTTCTGTGATTAAGTAAGTTGTTGGAATGAAGAGCACTATGGAGCTGTGAGTTACTGCTGTGACTTTCTCCAGGAAATCTTTTAGCAGTTTAAATCACTTTCAATCATTTCTACAGGTCATTTTTTCTTAGAATTGAAACTTTTTTTTATATTAGGTGAATGAACAACTTGTTAGATGCCCATTTTCGTCAGCCTAAATTGCACCTGCCAACTCTGCTAATAAGTTTGGCTTAGATCCACTACAGCAGCTACATCAACTAACAGGGAGTGGTTTCATCTGTTCAGTAGCATGTTGGGAGCATTGTTTTGGTTTCTGTGTATTGAATAGTGCCGCTCAGCATATCATAGTGCCTTTCCAGAGAAGAGGAAACACTTCCATTAGGTAACAAGGCTATGTGCAGAGGATATTGTCACTGTCTCCATGTCATCAGCTGCTGGGGCATAGGTACCACTTCTAAGGTGGAGCTGTTCTTGCTCAGTCTGGAAGAGTCAGAGGGGGTCAACCCTTCCTGCACAACTGTCAAGTTGGCCAACCAGAAAAATACTCAGTGTGAGTAGCAGGATGAAAGAAAGGTTTCTGCCCAGCTTTCCGAGATTGTGCTGATGCTTACTGCCTCACTTCTACCTGAAACGCAACGCATGCTGCTGCTGCATTACTGTTGTCTTTTTCAGCTCTAATCTTTCCCTCTCCATGAACTGTACAAGCTCTTGGCTCACATTTTGAGCTAGCTGTCAGTTCTTCCTCTTTGGGCCTAGCTGAAAGGGAGCTCACAGTGCTGTGCTCGATATTGGTAGCTCAAAAGGTGTCGCTAACACCCCAGCGTCAGCGTTTTGGCGATCACTGCGCAAGACTGGCACAGCACCAGTGCTGTCCCTCAGCACTCTAGTCACCCCCAGCCAAGGGGTGGGCAAGATCCTGGGAGGGAACACAACTAAACCAGCTGACCCAAAATGACCAAAGGAATATTCCATACCACATGATGTCAACTCAGAGATATCAGCTGAAAGAAGAGAAGGAAAGGGGGCAGCATTCATTATTACATTTGCCTTCCTGAGCAACTCTCCCCTGTGCTGATGCCCTGCTCTCCTGGAGATGGCTGAACATGTGCCTGCCCATGGGAAGCAGTGAATTAATTTCTTGTTTCACTTTGCTTGTATATGCAGCTTTTGTGCTTTCCCTATTCAACTGCTTTAATCTCAACCCATGAGTTTTCTGGCTTTTCCCCCCTCTGATTCTCTCTCCAATCCTGCTTGGTGAAGGAGCAAGTGGCTGTGCAGGACATGGCTGCTGGCTGGGGTTAAACCATGACATCCTCATATCCACATTGTTCCGTTGTAACCTGTACAAAATGCTTTTTGTGTACTATTTTGAGTAGTTTGTATCTTTAGCTGTATGTATTTTTTGAATTAGGCTTTTGGTCTGCACTGCTTCCCCGCCTCAGACTGCACTGACACACTTGCTTAACATTTTGTTGCAGCATTCCCTGTCTTGACTGTCTCCATAAATTCACTTTTTTCCCCAAAAAGTATAAGCCTCATTTTTTTTTTTTAAACTAACTTCTGTTGGGCACAATGAGAGTTCAAACTGAACCACCTTCACCTTTCCACTCACAATCTAGCTAAGGCAGAAGTAATTGTCCCCTACTCATAGACCTTTATTAGCAACAGTTCCTAAAGAGTTGGGTTAGCTGAGTCAAGGCCCTAGTATGGCTTTCACCCACCTCCTGTGTTCACAGGGGCCAGATCTACACTCCATTCCATGTGTTTAATTGCAATTACTCCTTGTCCATCAATTTGAGTTCAAGTCAAGTTTTATACCAGAGCATTTAAAGACAGAATTTTCTTCTACTCTGTTGTTACACTGCAGCTTCTTTATCAGATGCTGTCCTTAAGAGGCCAAAACCCTCACAGCTTCAGGGAACTAAGGGTCCTGGCACTACCAACAAATGGTCAAAACCTGTTCATAGACCCAAGTTTGATGTAGAGTCCAGAGCTTGGCCACCTGCTGAGGAGGGATGGTATTAATCTGCAGCTGTCTTGGTGGAGTACTCATTCCTGTGCACAGTAACGCTCTGCAGGTGCAACCCCACAGGAGATTACAGTGAAAAAGGTTTATTTTCCACTTACCAGAGACAGGCAAACATTTAGGCACACAACTACCCCTTTTCTATCCCTTTCAGATCTGCGTCAGGGCACAGAGGAGTAGATTAAGATTTACTACTTCTGTGCAGTGAGCAGCTCGTTGTCTTGCACATGCATATAATGGTGTGATACTGGAGGACAGTCCTTCACCTCTGAAGGTCACAAAGAGTGCTATGTATGTCCAGCTTTCAACAAAGGTCTGCACGAAGTCTGTAGCATTGTCTCTCCAACGTGAAGTACCTCAGCACCACGCCCCCCACTTTTACTGCTGCCAAAGCAGGCAACACTTGGCTTTAGGATATATCAACAAGCAAAGCTTTATTGAATTGATACTCAGTATTAAAAGTGTTACAGTGTGATACACAAAGCAAGGAAAAAGCAGTGTGTGTGGGTTTTTTTAAATTGTCTGCTGAACTTATGCCCAAGCACTACAGTAACTAGTATGTGTTTCACAGTAGTTAGTAACATACAGGAAACTTGCTTGTTCCTTCTAGCAGGATCTCAGCAGAGCTGTAAGGGGTTTTGAGCCCCCTCACTGGGCATGAACAAGGGCACCTGCTCCCTGGCCGTATCCAAATCCCTTGGGGCCAAAGTTCTTCGCATAACAACCTGCGAGAAAGATGAACATGTGGTAGCTGAGTCTTCTGGCACGTTAATTAAGAACAGCACTGCCTAGGCTAAGCCCCTCAGCTGATTCCCCTCGGTCACTAGAACATTCCCATGGGAAGCAATGCTTAAAAACATTTCGTTAAGCTGTGTAACTGCCATGACTGAACTCAGTAGCCAGAGCTGTTCGGTCCCAGCCTGCTCTGTGAAAACAACTCACACATCAGTTCTGTGGCTCAGTATCTGTTGAGGATATGTTGTCATCAAACCACTGTGCAGATCAAGTTCATATCCAAAATACCATGCAAGAAGGCATGGCAGGCTGCTTGCTGGCTTGTTCCCTTATTCTGATCTGCCCTGTGACCCAGGCACAAGGCTGCTGCTGCATCTCTCAGTATATGATGTTTTGCTTAATGTTGATATAAGCTACATCAGCAGCTTCAGTAACGTTTATTTCATTTTTCAGGTCTATTCTGTTCCTGTAAAGTTAATTCTATCCCAGCCCAAGCCAGCAAAGACACATAGAGCACTTCCATCTTGACAGGAGCCTGGAAGTTTTTTATACTAGAAATAAATTGACTATCTAGTCTTGTAACACATTACCTTGAACCATAAACAAATGATCTTTGTTTCTTTCCTCACCTTTACAATAAATTTCACCCTCTTTTTCAGTTAGGGTTGTAGATTCTAGGCTTTTTCCACACTTGGCACAGCGGAAGCAGTTTTTGTGCCATGGCTACGGAAAAAAAAAGGAAAAAAGATTGTATAAATACAAAGGATGCCCAAGCTGGTAAAAAACCCACCTTAACTGGAGATATCTGCATCAGCATTGTTTATATATGACTGGTGCAATAAAAACGAGTCCAAGTGCACTAGTAGCAGATAAGAGCATCTGCATTTCTGTGAGCGGCCCAAAGCCTGGAATTCCACATAGCGTCCTGCTCAGGGCAGCATTTTGAAAGGTCTGGGCTTGCTCTATCAATTCAGAGCAGATCTTGGCTCTCTGAAGTGAGTGAGTCAGACAACTGGCAGACTGACATATGGTTTAACACTATTTTCAGAGAACATCCCATTTCTGCTGATACATTGAGCCTCCCTCAGAAGCTACACAGCACAAGACTGATTCCTCTTCTTGGGGAGAGGCCTTCTGTCATCTGCTTCAAGTCTCTTGCATGAGATGATATTGAATCTTCACCTCTGAAAGCTAAGGTGATCACTCATTGCCCTGCATTTCAAGTGCTCTTTGTTCAATTAAGTTGATTGATTTGACTATTTCCAATGCCAAGAAATAGAATTTTAAGTAACTGCTTTGCAGTTGGTTCCACAAAACACACCTTGCTCTGTTTAAAGTCCACATAGCAGGTACAGAACAGCACGTGCAGGTCCTTACCTTTCCAGCTCCTATTACTTTCTCTGCTGCATAAACAGAATCGCCACACCTAGAGCATTTCTCTGTCCCTCCGAACTTCTGAGCGAACTTTGAAGGATTTGGATTTGTGGGTCGGTGAGGAGAGGGTGTGCTGAAAGAAACAGGACATTTCTTGTCTCTACTCTTTTACTAAATGACCTCTCGCTCTTCCTAGCAACACAAACAGAGCAGCATCCAACATACGGTACAGAATACAGTACTTCTGCAAGACTGGAGAAGTAAGTTACCAGCAAGGCTATCCAATTGCACCTGGTAGGGGGAAAAAAACCCAAAACCACAACAAAAAGAGAATGGCCATGCTTCAAAGGATAAAAATAAGCTAGTGTAAAGGCTAGTTTTCTGAGGAGCCTTCCCCTTTTTTCACTTCTCTAAAAGTGCCGAATTCTATATCAGGATATGTATTTATCAGATAGCAAGCTACAAGTAATTCTGTTAAATTCATGTCCACTGATCATAATCTGGAACCTGATCAGATTGCTGAACCTGGCTGCAGAGCACACATCATATAAACCTTAAGCAATAATTTGGGAAGTTGCAAGAAGCAAGTTGTGAGGCATACCTCAGCTTCTTTCCACATGCTTTGCTTTACAGCAACAACTTAATCAGACTAGGAACGTTTACTATTTAATAGGCCTTTTGGTTTGGGCTGTAATTAAGCACAAATGGTTCTTCATTTGCCAGTTAAAAATTCATTATTCTTGTAGCTCCAGATTCTCAGCTGTCCAAATCCATCCTTGCCAGAACCTGTTGAACATTTGCATTTCCAGCTTATTTAGGGGAGCAACTGAAGACCCAGCCACCTCTGTGGGCTTGTGCAGAGCCATCAGCAGCTTTGTAATCCAGTCCCTATGGCTCAGGCATAGGGTTAGTGCATCCTTGCCTGCACTAACTTCTTGTACAGTTCCTACACCCACAGAGTCACTGGTGGAAGGTTTGTACAGTGCAGGTTCAATACCTTGCATTCAGCTAGACTGGGGTATTTTACAGCATTCCCATACCAAACAACATGAACAAAATCCAGCCTGAAGGATGACTCTGAAAACAGCCCTGAAGGACAAGGGGCATGCAGCCCCCAACTCAGTTCACTCACCTCTCAGGCTTGATGCCTAGTCTCTCTCCCCTGTCCATGTTGAGTGTGCCTGCCCCTTGGCCATATCCATAACCTTTCGGGCCATACTTTTTCCCATAGCAAGATTTGCAGTAGACTTCAGCATCATGAATTGCTACAGTTGTGCTGTCCAAGTTTTTCCGGCAGACCACTGCAGGGCAAATAAAAGTTAAACTGCCTTAAGGGACTATTTCCATCAGCACATGTAGTAAGCCAAAAATCAAGTGAGAAGTGATGTTATGGGTGTCTCTGTCTACAATTCTTCCCATTAGGCTGTGGGACCACCAGAGATTAGAGGAAGCAAGTTGCTGTTTGAATAAGTGAGTTGTGCTTAGCTCTCTAAAGGGCTCTATTCCCTCCCACCTCTTCATGACCATGATATTTAAAGCCTGGAAACTTGCTGTAGCTTGGTAAATGAGGCTGCTCAGAAACCCAGAGAGGGCAGGCAGCAGTTTCCCTTGACAGATGCCATACAGCAGGAAGCAAAAGGCCATCAGTGCAGAAGAGGCCCTGTCCTGCCCTTTTGGCTGGGATGAGGCTGGGGAAAGAAAACAAACCTTCAAGGTTTTCCCCTGCCTCAGTACTGCTTTGTGGCTAGGGCTGGTTCACGGCTGTTACCAGAGGTCCGCTTCTTCTGGAATTCCTATATTGTCCTCAGCACAATGCAAGCACTCTACTCAAGGTTACAGCAGAAGGCAGAACTATTTCCTTCTTAAACCTCCTTTTGTATCCCAACTGGTATGCTCTTTCCATCTGCAACACTGTTCCCCTTGCAGATTAAAAATAAAAAAAACAGAACTGGCCTTATGATTTTTTTTTGTTTAAAAAGAATTTTCATGTCTTCAAAACACAGGTGACCTTTGCTCATGGCATTCGTTAGCTTCAAGGTTCTTTTTATAAGACACAAACATCCAATAAGTAAATCAACTAATGCATGTTTGTTAAGTCTAGGGACTTTAAACCCAACAGAACTATGCACTAAGGAAAAGCAAATATTCAAATACACTAGACCCATTGTTTGACTGTAAGTTCCAGGTTTCTTTTCAGAGACACTCCCATAAAAGGCTGAAAATGAGGCAGCCGAGACATATAATCTTTGGGGGTTTTATGACTGCTACAGAGCTAAGGAAAGGAACATAGGTGTGCTGAGGCTCTCAGTGCCAGCACAGCACACAGACAGTAGGCAGCAGACCAAGAGCAAACTCATTTGAGTGGGCCAGTTGTAACTGCACCTTATGCAAGGAGGGCTACACCATAGCTCTGCCCATACATTTTCACCACCAAGTGGGCCTAAACAGTACTTTGTGTTTGCAATAAGGTAAAATTCTCTGATTCAGACAGACAGGCTGTCTGTTTGCAAAGTAGGAGCCTCTAATTCACAGGGACCCTTTGTTGCCTTCATCTAAGCAGAGGTCTTTTCAGCAGAGAAAACGATTTTCAATGCCTCACTGGGCTTGTTGGTTGGACTGGAAAATAATGCTTTGGACTTCTTTCATCTGAAATAAACCACAGGCTCCTCTGCCAAGAAAGTTTAGGCTTTTGGCTGTGCTAGAGTATCAGCAACTTGGCGTACTCAGGCATGCTGGTGTCCTGGTTTGCACAGGACTTCAGGGCAGCCGTTCGATAACTGTTCCTTCAGCTACTGCCAGCCCCAGGACCACTGCAGACCAGCTGAGCTCAGATCAGTGCAAACAGGGCTCTGCCAATGATCTTTCTCCTCTGCATGAGCAACACTTAAGCCAGGTTTCCAATCTAAAGATCCCTTGGACTCCTGGGGAAAAGGAGTGCTGGAATGGAAGAAAAAAAAATCAGTGTGATCTTCTCTGAGAGGTACATCCCACGCCTCACGTACTGGATAGGTAGGGTAATATCTCTCCAGGAGACAAGCTCTCCCTTCAGCACTGCCAGGCCCAGGAAGCACATGAGGAACCAGGAGTCAAGCCCAACACATGATGAACAAAGCTATCTCTGGCCACTGCCATCCCCACCGTATCATGAATGCCAGCTGAGCCTGGGATAGCACCTGTGGACCAGCACCTTGCTGCTGTGATGTACCCATGGCTATGCCAGGAGGGGGCTTGGAGGGGAATACTCACTGCAGAGGAAGCAGCACCGGTGGAAGCTCCTCCCATCACACTGCACCTCCTCAGCATGGTAGACAGTGCGGCCACAGGCGCCGCATTTGTTGCCACCTCCCCAGTTTGGCATGGTGGTTCTGTGCGCCCAGCCAGGCAGGAGGGGAGAAGGGAAAAGGTTAGTTGAACACAGTGTCCTCCACCACCCTGGCCCCAGGACTGTTGGGGTTACAGGCTCCTTTAAAACAGATTTGTGAAGTTTGGTTATCAGAGCGCAACCCTGAGATTTCACCAACTGTTTAAAAACGTGACCTTCCACTGTGTGAGAAGTTTTTGGGATCAGCTCAACTTCTCAGTTCTTCAGATCCCAGACCAGACTTAAAGGCTTAGGTGGACTCTCTGTGGCTATTTGTAAAAGCAGATGAACTGGCAAGGGGAACAGAGACCGCCTGCTGCTGCTGAACAGCAAGAAAAACAGAGGCACAGTTTTGATGAGACATGTCCTCTGCCCCTGCCCGGGGATTTTGAAAGTTACATAAATTGGATATGCACAAATTACAGTTTCATGCACAAGGGCTTTACTGTACCTTGACTGAATGATGCCTCCCTCCACCCTCCCATGGATATCATTTCAGTTTCTATGCTTCATTAATGCTGGGCCTCTCGTCTGATGGAAGCAAACCAATTGTGCCAACAATGGCATTTTGTTTTACTGCAGGGCCTGTCATTTGGGATGAGGTACAAGCCAAAGTTCACCTCACCAGGAAAACCACTTATTAGGGCTGTAGGAACATTCTGAACTCCTTTGAGATCACACCTGCACTTCAAAGAAGTTTAAGGGGGATTATTTCCCAGGCACTCCACTGCTATTACACGAACTGCACGTTTACCAGACAGGTAACCAAACCAAATTGCTCAAGGAGTCCTAACTGCCTTAAAGGAAAGTAAAACTCCCTCTCACTCATTACTTACAATAGGCACTTAGAAAGGTAGTGGAGAGACACAGGCAGCTCACCCATCATGTCAGACTACAACCTTGGGAACAGTCTTCTACATTAAGCCAGAACAGCAACTGTCCCGTCTCAAGCTGAGCTGTCCCCTTCAAGCTCCCTTGCACTCCTATCACCTCCACCAGCAGTTCCGACTGGGAGCTCCTCCTGCTCCTCCCATTAACCGTCCTGGGTTAAGGTTCTAGAGCAGAGCCCTGCCCACCACCCTCCATTTTTCTGGGGCTTTCCTCCTCCCACCACCACCACAGGCTAACACAGCTGTGTGTTGCAAGCTCATGTCCCAGTCACCCCGGAACCACCCTTGACTTGTGACCACTTGTTCATGCTGGTTTGCTCCCCTGCAGCTCACCACCAAAGGTCACCTCTCACAAGCACAGAGGCCAACAGCAGCCAGAGAGTTACTGATACAGTGAGTCTAACCCAGCAGAGCTGCTCAGGACTCATCACCCCCACCTGTTCTGTACTGACCCTTGTTTCATACACGGCTTCTGGGCAAGGACCATAGGTTTGCCCACTGGAAGCCCAGAGGGCACATTCTGCCACCCTACCCCACCAGCAGCACCATTCCCTCCCTGCAGATTCCCCACAGCAACACTGCAGTACAGGTCAGCTATCAGGGAGGAAGGAAAGGAATTTGCTGGGAGCTTCTAACTTTTCTCTGCAAAACTCGCCTTCAGTTACCCTTAGAAACTCTCCTATGTTGGCCAGACAGGGAGAATATACAAACAACAGCATCCTCACACAAAGCCTGCAACCTGCTGCCTTCAGTCAGCTTTGCAGATCATCCCTCTAAGCCAGGAGCAGAGGACTACCAATCTCTAGTTGTCCCCCTGGCCAACAGAGAGGAACTGGAAGCACCACTATAACACGGAGTCAGACAGGAGTACTTTGCTTCAAGATCCCCTTTCTCTAAGGGGCTCTTCTCACCAGCATGTGGGACAGGCTTCAGTGCAGAGCGAGGCACCTCACACTCCCCAGGCAAGATAGAGCAGACTCGCAAACCACGTCTGAGAGCAGCAGTTTTGGCTAAGCCTGAACTACATAACCTATCCTGCTAGTGCTGGTAAAACAAGCCTCCTGCCCAAGCAGCATGACCAGGATTTCAGCAGCTTTAGGAATGCAGTGCAGGTTGCATGGTTCCCAAGGAACTAGGTAGCTGCTACAAGACCTTTGTCCAAGACAAGCAGACAGACATTCATGGCATGTGGGAAAATAAGATTAGTTTATTAACCTAAATTGGGGCAACTTACATACATTCCTAAGCAAAGGCTTAGGAAACTTCCTGAGAGTGGCTGAGCAGTGCCATTTGCACACTGACACCAATTACTGAGATAGCCCTTTGTTTAATACTTCCACGGGATTAGCATCATTACTGCTCCATGGTTTAGCACTAATACCCTGACCGAGCTCATAAAATTAGTTTTATGACATTTCTCCACTTTGCTTTTGTCATTCTTGGCACAACTGTAGAGTTTAAAAAATAAGATTCCATTTCTTTTATTCAAGTGCTTGGCTGTGCTACCGCACAGCAGCTGACATCAATCATGGCAAAGAGCGTCCTTAGTTAAAAAGAATATAGGCTGCACAAAGCTGTGGAAAAGGAATGCATGGATTGGAAAAAAAAAATAAAGAGGAAAAAGAAAGGACAAGAGATTCCTTTCCACTCTGTATGCTTTCCAAAATGTAAATGGTATTTGGTACAAGAACTACTTCTGTCTTTTCCTCTCACCATCCCCATGCTCATGTTCTTCTGGGAATTTACATGAGCCTAAATTATTTTAATCATTTTGTTAGCAAACAATAACGTAGCTTTCATGCACACTAGAGCTAAGGACCTGAATCAGATTTCCAGCTTTGCCCCAGATTCTCCATGTAATATTTGATAACTAAAGATGTAGCTCCATGCCTTCTTCCCAAGGGAGACAAAATATTAGACAAATATTAGACAAATATTAGACAACCTGGACACTGCTAGCTGACTCAAATTGTCTGATACGGACTCTGAGAATTCATTAAATGAAAAACAAAACACAACTGGAGTCAGTACTTAAAGGTGGCCTTGGTCTCTTCCATAGAAGGTACTTTCATTTATCCTCTCCACAATGTTCCCTGACAGCTTGCACGGAAAGAAAGGCAATATTTCCTCAGCTACCCAACAGCAAGAGCTACCCTTATGGCAGCAGTTCCCAGGAGATACCGCGGGGGAAAGGAGCTGCTGACCCGCAGAAGCTCTGCTG